ATAAAAATGAAAAAATAAGGAATATAAAATAAATTAAATACGATAACTAAAATGTATAAAATGAAAGTTTTAAAAATAATTTACTATGTATTTATGTTATTTAAAAATATGAGATTAAATCGAAAAATATTCAATATTAGGCTCATTATGAAGGTATTGATAAGACAATTATAATGATATAATTTGTAAAAGATGAAGAAGAGATGGAAGGGTGTTTAGCTTTAAAACTTATATACGATACAAAAGAAGCCGTACCTAACATCTAAACGTTTAAACTGCTTATCTATATTATATTATAAAACGTTTGACAAAAACTCTTAAAACCATTTTTTATGCATAAAAGTACTGTTTTTAATGCATATTACTTAAAACTCAATATTACAAGTAGATTGTGTGTAAGTACAACTTATTAGAACTCCACGTCTGAATTCGTGTAACTAACTGCAGATAAACATAATCAAATACATGATAAACATCTCATTTTAAATATAAAGAATCTAAAATATAATTAGGATAATCATCGAGTTCTAACGGAATACTTAATTATTATCATTATAAAATGTTGTATTATTAAACCAAAAAATAAATTATTTCATTATTAAACTTAAATTAAATTATAATAAAAAATAAATTATAATAAAAAATAAATTAAGGAAATTACATAAAAGATATAACTTTTAAATAGTTGATTTGATATTAACATTAATATATTTTTTTCAAATTTATATTTTATTCAAAAAATAAAATCATTATTGATTTCTTAAAAACACATAAAATCATATTATAACATCGACAAAAACAAATAATAAAGTAACATATTAAAATCAAGATATGTCTCGCTGTATTATGCGAGTACACATCTAATATGTATTATAAATATATGTATACATGTATATGGTGGTTAAAAAGAGGTTGAAGGGTAAAGAATCGGATGCGCACACGTCTACGGCTGTGCACATGCATCCCTCATCCTTTTTCATTTCCTGTTTTACCCTCAAATACATAAACTTATAATTGTCATTTTAAATAATAACAATAAATTAAGACTAAGGGGCTGTTTATTTTTAATAAAAAAGCTCTTAATATCTTTTTAAGTCTGAATCGGTTAGACATAATAGGATTCAGTGTGTTTGTTTGTTTTTTTTTTTTCAATTAAGAGCTTAAAAACTCTTATTAGGTCTGAAAATTTAAGTGGTTGCGAAACCTCTTATTACCTCTTATTTCAAATCGTCGCCTACCTACTATGATCTMTTTGCGCTCGATTTCTCTAGATCAACTCTTCTGTCTCGATCTCTCATCTCTCAACTTTGTCAACTGTCGATCCATATCAACTCTCGATCTCTCATCTTCAAACTTCAGATTTCAGACGCAAAAAACAAACACTTTAACTGATTCAGATTTCAGACTTCAGCACCACCTCTTAAAAATCAGAAGTGAATTCAGACTTCAAACTTTAGCACCTCTTAAAAAACAAACGCCCACTAAATTATATTTTTGGTATCCAAGGTTATCATTTAATAATTAATATCAAA